CATGCTCAGGTGTCCTGAAGCAGACTGTTCCCCACTGAGCATTCTGTTCTGTTACAATGCATTAGATCTCTTGTTGTTCCAGCAGGTTCCAGCAGGTTCCACATTCCACTAAGACCCTTTCCTCCAATCAAGATCTTTCCAAATGTTTTTAGGTCATTTAAGATCTACACAGTTTTCTTATACACATTTCCTCTTCTTAGGTACCAGCCTTAATCCATCACTGTGTGAGAGCACCTCCCTATAAGAACCCACAGGGTCATGTCAAGGGAGGAGGTGATGCCCTACAGCTGAGAAACCTCTTGTTTCATTAACTTACATTTTGGGTGGAGAGCCTTCCATGCAGATAATATTTACTTATTTATTTATCTATCATATTTGTATAGTTGCCCATCTCACATAGTGACTCTGGGTGGCAATACAGCCCTATTTCGTTTGGAAAAAAGGCATCTCATATATAATACAATATATCACACATCAGTAAGATGAAGCCACATCTCCTGCCTAAATCTAACTGTGGAAACCAGTCCAAAATAAGACCTTTGTACCTCCAGCTGGCAAAGCAAAGTTGTTGAAATGCATTCCTGATGACCTTCATCCAGGCCCACTTCCAGTGGCATGTAATGGCATCTGCTGCCACTTGTGCTTTGCTGTGCTTCAGAGCTGCAAAGGCAGATCAGAGGTACGAGGCCAGCCTTAGAGCCTATGCTGTGGATTTGTGAAAGTGAGTCCTTCCACAAGGAGAGCAAAGTTTGTGCTCCCCCTCTCTCTCTTGCCTTAGGCTGGAACTACTTAAAACAGAACCACAGGTTGCCTGGATCTTGGACTGATATAGGAAAACATTTCACTCTTGTAGGGTCTTCCTTGTGTAGAGTCAGATTTGTATAGAACAGGGCTGGCATCTTATTCTTTTTAAGTTTTGGTGCTGGATTATTGATTAATCCTTGGCTTACATGTCAGTTGTGATCATACAGAATAAGGAAAAGCAATTAACAGCAATCCCAGAAACGCTTGCCAGGACAGGACAGGAAAGGAGAAGTTGCAAATTAGGGAGTTTAACTCAGGAGATGAAGGAAAACAGCATATAAGCAGATCCCAGAGAAACCACTAATGCATTTATGCTTCAATAGAGCAAGGATGTGTATTGTATTTGCCCAATACTTACTTGCAAGATCCTTGTGTATTTTGATACCACTCTGAGTGCTTTGCAGAAGAAAGACATGTGTGGAAATATAAGTATTCTGTAAATATATATTTCTGGATTACTGATTCTAACATTCTTATTTCCTCTTCTTATGATATTTAACATTTAAACATTTTTTTAAAAAAATTGCAGGCTCCCCAAAATAATTTATAATTGAACAAAGATCATGCTATATTCCAAATAAAGAAAAGTCAATAAAAATGTACAAAAACATTCCAGTTATCAAGTATTTAAAGTACAACTTTATTGCTACTGACAAAGCAACACAAAAAACAAGCAGGAATTTCACAAGATCTACTGGGAAGCATCCACAAACTCACAGTAAGGCATGTGCTGGGACTTCAACTAGGCTTCAACTAGTCTCTGGCCCTTTCAAAACACAGGGTCACCTTTACTCACGACAGTGATGGCTAGAATTCAGCAAGTGAACTGCCTACCATATATGGGATGGCCATTTGATCCAGTTTTTCCTTCACTTGCCCTCCTCTTGGACTTTAAGCTTATAAAACAATAAGGACTGAAGGTGGCAAGAAGGCAACAAACAATTCTTAGGTCAGATGCAGCTTCTATGGAAACACAGAACAGATGCCTCTGACTCTCAAGGCAAGGAAAAGGTCAGACAAAAGTCCATTGACGTGAAGCAGCAGGAGGAAAAAGCCTAGAAATTAAACCCTAGGGCTGACTCATACATAGAACTTGATTCCTGCAAGAGGCAGCCATGTCAAATCAGAGAAACATCAGCTGTTGCCAAATGTGGGATTGAATTTCCAGAGGGTTAGTATTTATTGCCAGTTAGGAAATGTAATTTATGCAAAATAAACCTGTCTTTGCTACTTAGTACTTCCAGAGCAAAAGTCAGCCTTCCAATGATTGGGCTATGATTCAGTGTTCAAAGATTCTATCATTTTCCTTGGCACAGAAATAGAAACTGGAATAATCCTTTAGGCCCCCAGAAGTCCAAGTGCCACCTTTTTCCCTGCAGTTTACCAAAGAAATCTTCCTTGGTATTTATAATATAGGCAGTTCTTGATTAAAAGGGGATGGTTTTCTCACTTTTTGCACAAAATCTATTATCTTGTGTCAACTGTGGTCTCTGTCCAATGCTGACAAAGTGCAACTTCTGAGTCATAATGTATCCAATTTTAGGAGTATTTTACCTGTAAATATAAGACTGAAACCTTGATGCACAAGGAAAAGAAAGAAAAAGCAACATTGGTGCTAGAAGGAAACATAGATTTCCTATTTCCTCAGTTCTGCAAATATTTATTTTTTGCACAAATTACGTGGCAACAGAGTGACAAAAATATATCAGGCAGTTTGTTATCATGAAGAAGTTATCATTCTTGGTAAACACCACAAAGCAACTAACACCCACTCTTTCCCTTCCTCCAGTGCCCCACCGCCTGCCTTTCAAGAGGTCAAACCACTCTGCCTGCCAGACCACATTTTGCTGGGGCCGGAACTGGAAGATCAATAAAATGTTTGGGCCCATATGACAATGACAATTTCAGTAGCTGCCTCTGAATCATTTTTGGTAAGTCTGAGGCTTCGTCTCACTTGCATATTTTCACTTTCACTCTACTGCAAAGAAAAGCCACAGTTCCTCCACCTCTCTCTGACAGGCTTCCAAGAAATAATGTAGGCAGGATCCAGTTTCTAGAGTTCAGGTCAAGAGTGGATTGTTCTTCTGTTATACTCCACACTACTGAAGCATGTATTTTTTTAAAGTGAATTATTATTTACTGAACAGTGGTTCAAAGAGACAAAGGGCTAAGCAAAGAATATACAATGTTATAAGGACAAACACAAAAAAATAAAGAGTAAAAGGCACAGTTAACAAAAAGTTTAAAAGTTGTTCTTAACTGCCATATATTGTTAAGAATTAACAAAATTACACCTGTTGCAACTAACATAATGAATATAATCTGTCTAAACTTGATAAAAGTGTGATTCTTGCCTCTAGAAATTCAACATTCTAAGGTTTTCTAATATAGTATCTTTTTTCTAATAAAGTAATTGAGAAAGCATTTTGATCCACGAATCAATTGTTAAATTTTGAAGAAATTTCCAATGTTGAACAATAATTAGTTTTGTTGTCAATAGTAAATAGACAATCGGCTCTTCATTTTTAAGTGGGGTACTGGATTGCATAAATAGATATAATAAACCTGGTTCTGAGAGCACTCAACTTTTTGGTTTGTAATAATACTAATTTCACTAAAAATCTTGTGCCAGAAGGCTACTACTTTATTGCATGTCCACCATATATGGTAAAATGATCCCTTTTGTGTACAACTCCTATGACATTTTGAAAAGTGATTGTATAGTATATATGCTAATCTAGTAGGGGTTAAATGCTACTAATGCTACACCTTTAATTGCAAAAGGTGGAGTTCTTTGGTGTCAGCTTTAAGAAGCTTGTCCATTTTTTGCAGTGGTGTGTAGAGAATTATAGTGATCATGTGAAGAAGTAAATACAACAAAAGAGACACTTTCCAGGATTATTTTCCTGTTTTATTTATTAAAACATCCCTATTTAAACCAAAGTTATGGAAGTAGAGGCATTATTTTCATTTAACCTTCATATTATTTACTATAGGTAAAATCTAAAACTGAACCACCAAAACTCAGGCTCAGGAAGAAGTATAATGCCACTCTGAATACAATTAATCAAATGGCTATTTTTGTTCTGGAGGAATATAAAGTTTTTTCAAGAGACCTAATTTATGAGCTTATATGAGGCATTTGTTAGGCTAAATTCCCATCCTGGAAGTGTAGACGAATAGAGGGAGCTCTCCGTGGTGCTGACTTTCAGCAATCCCTAACTGGAATTAGGATTCCAGCCTGGAAACAGAAGTCATTCTCTCTCATCTGTATACCAAATTAGATATACAGTAAACTAGACAACCCGTGACCCATTGGGTTCACATTTCAGAGGCATTTCCTTACCTAAACAGGGAAACAGAATGATCATGGGCAGGCAAAAAAGCAGTGAGAGCAGGAGTGACTTCTAACTTCCTACTGGCTTTCCCCTTGACTTTCCTTGTGGAAAGCTGGCAGGGAGCATCAGAAATCC